ACTCACACACACACACACACACACACACACACACACACACACACACACACACACACACACACACACACACAGGTGGATTACAGCACAGAGACGAAGGAGGATTAACTGAACACACTCACGGAGATATTTCTCTCTCACGTTTATATTTTTATTCTTTATCGCCACGTTTACACAAAAATCACAGCGTTGTTCAGTAAAACAGCTGATTGCTCTAATTATCTCCCACTGCAGGGAGGAGCCTCTGTGTGTCCCTGTGATGGACTGGAGACCTGTCCAGGGTGTCCCCTGCCTCTCACATAGTGATGGATGGACATGGACACCAGAGACCCAAAAAAGGAAGTTGAAATTGATGGATGGATGATGGACGGATGGACAGCTGGACAGACAGAAGGATGGTTGAGTGGGTGGATGAATGGATGGATGGAAAGGTGGATGGATGGATGGCTGGGTGGACAGACAGAAGGATGGATGGATGGGTGATAGATGGAATTATTTAATGTAAAATATTATTCATTCCATCAAACTCGGGCTGTTTAAGAATTCATCTAACTGATGAACTTTCTGGAAATCTGGGTAATTAGAAAAAACATCTGACAAAAAGCCGGACTTCTGTGTTTAGCACTCACCTTGTGTGGTCATTGATTCATTCAACCTTTATTTCTACAGGTAAATCCCATTGAGCCTCGAGGACTCATTTACAAGAGAGACCTGATTTAACAAAGAAAGATGAAACAATGGACAACAGCAACAACAATAAACAGTTATAAAAAAGCATACTACAGTTTTTTTGTTTTTTTTTAACAAATAGGATGGCTAAAAGGAAAAAGGTAACAAAACAAAAAACAGCTAGATTATAAGGCGAATGTATAAAACTAAAAACAGGAACATGTCTGCATTGGTCCCTGCCAGGAGTCCAACAGATTCTTAAAGACACTTAGAGAGGTCAAAGGTCGAGAGCTTCAGATTTTTTTACAAGATATTCCAGGAAACAGGAGCGGAGCAGGAGAAGGTCCTTTTGTCTAGTTCAGTCCTCACTGAGGGAACACTGCAGGTAATGATGTCCTGAGAGCGCACGCTGTAGCTGCACTCACACAGAGACATGTAGGAGGAGATGTATGAAGGCAGCAGACCAGGAAGTGATTTAAAGATGGAAATAATAAAGTCATACTAATTTATTTTTTTTTACAAATAAGAGTAACAAAAACAGCTAGATTAGGTCAGTGAGGTTCTACAGGTCAGTGAGGTTCTACAGGTCAGTGAGGTTCTGCAGGTCAGTGACGTTCTGTAGGTCAGTGAGGTTCTACAGGTCAGTGAGGTTCTGCAGGTCAGCGAAGTTGTGTAGGTCAGTGAGGTTCTGTAGGCCAGTGAGGTTCTGCAGGTCAGTGAGGTTCTGCAGGTCAGTGAGGTTC